CCCAAACCCAACCCCAAACCCAAACCCAAACCCAACCCCAAACCCAAACCCAAACCCAAACCCAACCCCAACCCCAAACCCAAACCCAAACCCAAACCCAAACCCAAACCCAAACCCTAAATTAATCAAAATTAGGCAAATTCTTAAGGGTCTAAATCTTTAATAGAACTATAATGATTAATTTAAGATTCGAAATAAATTAATAAGATTAGGTTTACTACTTAATAGAACACAAACAAAAGATAAGTAAATAGACCTAAGAGTTCATTTCGTATATTCAGATTAAAAGTGATGACAGAGATATCAATTCATGAATTCATAATACTTATTATAAAATAAAACTTAGGAGGAAATGGATGAAAATTAAAATGATAATAATAATTTTGCTTCTATTTTTAAATAAAATTTTCTGAAAATAAGATTGATTTATCATCAGGATAATTTTCATCATAATAAATCTATCAAATGACTCTTTAATCTATTTAAATTTATTTAATTCAACTTTCATTTTCTGTTATTTTTGATTCTGATTCTTTACAAAATATGGGAAATGCTATAATTAATTATTACTTCACAATCTATTTCTTCTTTTTTGAAACTAAATCTGAAATAAACTCTTAAAGTCAATTCAAACACTTTATCGCTTGCTCACTAACATCTCCATGAGAATGAAGATCTTTAGCCTCATCAGCTATAATTCTTTATTGCTCAAATATAATCTATATTAGAGCTATAAAATAAACATAAATATGAGGATAGTTAATATTAAAAAGAAGAAAATAGATTAGGTTTGTTCTTTTTTTACTTTAATTGTATAATAGATTCTTGGAGAACTGTATTAAAATTTGAAAATATCTTATAGCGAAGTAAAGATATCATAAATACCTTGATTTAAATTAATATATTTAGAATAAATAAATTAATAAAAGCATTTTTTAAATGTTATAATATCTTCTCCAAATTATCAGCTGATGATTTATTAATTTTATCATTAAACTAATATTACTTTATTTTCATGATACTTATAAATTAGCAAATACTCTCTTTCATTTATTATTAATTATAGTTTTGATTTTTTAATAGATTAAAATTTTTTAAACAAATAAATAGTTCGCCATAACTTATACGTAAAGTATTAGTTTTCGCAAACATAACTAAGTAAAAGTAGAATACTCTTACTATATATAAGAACTATTTCTTTAGAAAGAAAAAGATTAATTTAAAGACTCTTATGAAGGAATAGAAGAGTTCAAAGACAGATCTATTAGTTATTATTCAAGATTTTTTCATTATTATTATATTTTTAATTATCACTAAGAGTATCCAAGAACAAGAAAATATAACTTCCAAAATTGCACAATTTAAAACTAGAGTCTGAGATAAAATTCTATTTTATTTTTCTGAACCTATTTATCTTCCTTTTTAATGTTTTGATACTCATTAATTTTGGCAATCAATAATATAGTTTAATTAAGATAATTTTTCTTAAATAGGATTAAATATTAGTGAAGATAAATTATGCTCAAATATATTCATTTTGTCTAAATTTATGACAAAAATCATCTTTAATTTAAAGCAACATTACTTGTGATCTTTTCATATCTGGAAAACAATTTTCAATTACCTATATTTCATTTCAAGTTAAAAAAAATTAAATAGTTTATATTTACAACAATTACATGCTTCTATTCAAAAAATCAATTCTTTTCTTAGAAAGATGGTTCGAAGCTTCAAAAATTAATAAATAGCTAAGGATTGTTATTTAATTTTATCTATAAACATATAATTTTTAATGAATTATATTACATAAGTTTATCTGGGAATTTAATTTATTTAAACCTATATAATTATTTAATATTTAATTATTAATTTTGATAGAAATAGAAAATGTAGATTACTTGTACTTAAGCTGATCATTAAAATCTATAAATAATAGGCTTTTGCATAGATAATACATGTCCAAATTAAAGACCTTATTGTCATTTTTGCTTGCCTAGCCATGTTCAACATATTAATAAGTTGACATCTTAAGAATTATTATCTGGATGGATTAAGGAAAGAATTCTTATGGTTTAAAATATTTAAAAGAATGTTTAAGAATGTAAAATTGCCCTTGATAGTCTAATAAATGTGTTCCTTCCATATAATAACTTTAATATTCAATAATTAACAGAATTAGGATTATAACAAATTGATTAATTTATAAAAGGTTTATGTTAAATGGAAAATTGTGAAGAATAATTATTTAAACAACTTAAACAAGCAATTGACTAAACTAAATCCAATACAAATGAAATAATTAAAAAAACAAAGAATTAAACAAATATAAAGTAGAATGATAATTTATAAAATCGATAATGTAATATAGATTAATCAATTTTAGAATAACCGAAGCATATATGTATAGTAGAACAAAATCAAAACCCATTCACTTTTGACCTTATTAAATAATATTCAATTAAGTAAGATGAATGGTGTATTGCTATTGCTTTTAATAAAGATTAGTCAATAGTTTTAGCTGGATGTAATAATGATATTAAAGTATTTAAACATGTATAAGGGAAATTGAATTAAGTATAATTATTAAGTGAACATACAGATATTGTTAATACTTTAAATTTCATGAAAAATACAAATGATTTTGTATCTGGAAGTGATGATAGTTCAATTATAATATGGTAGGCGATAGGAAATTATTAATGGAAATGTTAATAAAAATTGAATGGACATTCAGATATTATATATTCTTTATTAACAAATAATACTGACGATCTAATTATATCAGGTAGTGATACAATAAAATTTTGGGTGAAATAGGATTAATGGTTGTGTTAATAAACCATAAGTGATCATACTTATTTTGTATGTTCCTTAAGCTTAAATGAACAATAAAATAAATTGATATCTTGTTCATATGATTCATAAATATTAGTAATAGAATAGTAAAAGTTGGATAAAAAATGGATTGTTACATAAAAGATAACAGCAGATTAAGAAGGATAAAGATTATGTTTTATTAATGATTTTTAATTTACATTCTAACCCTATTGTAAAGATTAGATTTATGTATATGATATGGATAGTAATACTAAAAAGTATAGCATGACTAAGCAAATTGCTGTAAAGTGTAGTTCAAGTGGTGAGAATTGTTTTTTTCCATAATAATACATAAATTAAAAATGCCTCCTAGTGAATAAGAATGGCAATTATGTTAATTTAATTAGGAAAAAAGGAAATGGAGACTTTACAGTTTAATAATCTATTGAATTTGGTTAGTTTTTTATTTATGGATAATTAAGTGATGATGGAGAGTATTTGATCACCTGGGATAGTGGATCAAAGGAAATATAAATAAGAAAGTATAGACAATTATGAGTATTATAATTTATAAATTATAATTTCCAAGAATATTTATTGAATGCATGCTCATAAACCTGAATATAGTCTTGCAAAATGTAAACTTAAATTCCTACTTTTTTATATTTAACATCTATAATTATCTGATTTTAATTCTTTTAAGTATCTACAACATAGGGTAATTGAGGTAAATTTAATATTGGTTCATAAAATGTTTCATTAATTTTCAAAATGAGTCATCGCACATTGATGCATTTATAAATTTGTTTATTTGATTTATAAGTTGCAATTTTTATTTTTTTTATATATTTAATAATAAAATTCTTATAATTTATAAAATTCAAAAATTTTAATAATTGTATGTAATTCTAGAAATTAAACTGTAGTAAAATTTTTTTTTAATTTATTATTTTGAAATGAAATATTAATAATTCGAATAGAATAAATTTAAATAAACGCTATGACACTATGCACTTAATATAATTATCATGTAATTTACATTCATACTTAATTGGTTACCTCTTTAAGTGTGTAATTCATCATTAAGAATTAATTAGGAAAGAATACTTGTAATTTTATATTTAAAACAATATTAACTTTTTATGCACACTCGAAAAATGTTTATTTTATTAAAAGGAAGTAATTAAAATTTCTTCCTTTATTATGATTAAAAATTGTAAACAGTGATTAGAAAATAGAGGAGCAGTTAAAAGAAAATTATAAAATAATTAATAGCAGAGAATTAGAAAGAACCTAAAATGCATCTTTACAAAGAGATTACAGATAAGCTTTTTCTATTTATTTAATTACTACAGCAAATGTTAATTTTTGAATTAGAGGATAATAAACTAATTTTATGAAGCATACAGATCTTAGTCATCTCTTAACATATTGTGAAGCTTCTACTGAATGTAATTG